GGGAAAGAGAAACATCACATCCATTCCTGGACCCGGTGGCTTAAACTCACGCCGGGCACGTGTGCGTGCGTGCCCAAGATCCCGAGAGGAGAACGGAGAAGCAGCACGGCCATTCCCCTCAGTGGGTGATTGAACTTTTCTTCTCTCTGTCTCTTTCCTCTTCTGCAAGTGCATTCGCCCCATAGCAAAAACATAAAACAAACAAACAAAAGCCCTATTGGTTGTTACATATGAAAGTGACAAGGCTTTTGAAAATTTTCTAATAATGGGTACACTTTTACTCGCCTTCTCTAAAATGTGGCTTAAGGTGCAGAAATAAATGATAAGTTTAAGCATATTTTTCAACCGCTTTTATAAATAATGTGCACTTTTGAGAAATCAAGAAACTATTCTCACCCCACATGCACATTAATGTCTGCTTACCACTAAGCAAAAATTATTCTGGTAATTAGAAAGGTACCTGATTAAAGGCCTGCATTTTTCCTTCATAGTTACAGATGAGAATATCTTTCGGAGAGATTTTTATTAGCTTTACTGCATAAATCTATTGATTCAGTGACTGCTATCCTGACTGCAGCCCTAATAAATTCAGTCATGTCCTGAAAAAAAATTAAAAAGAATGTGGGTTCAGCCAGTGGTGTGGGGGTCAAGGCGGCTGGATCTCAATATTATGACTGATAAGTCACTATTACTGCCTATGTGTGTAATGGCCGACTACACAGTTCAACTCCTTGACCCAGCAGCTTGAAAAACATGCCAGGAGCACGTATGTGTGTGACCAAATCTCAAGGGAGAACGGATGAGAAAGGACTGTGTTGTGACCATCCCCCCGGAGGAGGGTGCTTTCTCACTTTCTCTGTCTCTCTCTCTCTCTCTCTGTCTCTGGTGAGTACAGCACCCTTTATCAAAACTCAAAAACAAAAAAAAGTAAAAAGTAAAAAATAAAAAATAAAATAAAACAAACATCATCTAAAGGCATAGGCTTTAATCCTAGCCCAAAATTTGTTGGCAATTTACCTAATTTCCTATATCCCAGTTTTCTCATTTATAAAATAAGTATTAAAAATGATTGGGGTGGGACCAGCAGTTAGCGTAATGGCTATGTCGCTGGACTCCCATGTAGTCGACCATGGTTCGCGTCTCAGACCCAGTGGTTTAAAACTCACACCGGATGCGTGTGTGTGTGTGTGTGTGTGTGTGTGTGTGCGCGCGCGCCCAGGATCCCGAGAGGAAAATGGAGGAGGAGGGATTGCGGCGTGGCCATCCCCCCTGAGGGGGGTGATTTCTCGCTTTCTGTCTCTCTTTCTCTGTCTGTTGGGCGAGCGCACATGCCCTATAGCAGAAATCTCTCCAAAAAAAAAAAAAAAAGAAACTTAAGATCTACATAAAAATATTGTTTTAAGTGTCAGTTATAACTAAGTGAAACACAATGAAAGCAATGAGTTAATTATATATAGCTCCCACTTCCTCCATTTCCACACGATTTTGACTTTCATGTATTTCTTTTTGGTGGGTAAATGGCGGTACTCATGCCTTCTCAAACTTTTTAGAGAATAATATTGATGTTTATTTTTATATTTATAATAAATATATGTAAATACTTTTTAAAGTTAAAAATAATAAATAGGAAATATTGATTGATAGGTCGCTATAGCTGCCTAGCTGTGTAATTTTCTGGAAATTGAAAGTCAGCCTGTCGTTAAAATGAAAACAAATAGGATCTGTGACTAATTTGTACAAGGTATCTCAAAAAAGATGGACTCAGAGGCCTGGGCGGTTGGGGAGCCAGAACCCTGCATGTTGCCTCAGCTCAACTGTGGTTGATTTATCTGTGCCTGGAGAGTTTGTCGTCACTCGTCCAGGCTGTGCACTGGAAAGTGCCACGGCCACCCTCCAACAGAAGGACGGCTGCTCCCCTGTCCTGGATCCTGCTCCTGAAAGCTGGGACAGGGCAGGCTCAAGGCCTGGGCCGGACACCGTGTGTCTGTCTGTGGGTGTTCGCATGGCCTCCTTGGCGGAGGCCACTGAAATGACATCTCTGGCCTGAGCCTTCAGGCCGCATGTCTTCCTGAGCTCTGCAGACCAGACCCCAGCGGCTGCTGGCGGGGCCTCAGACCTGGGGAAGGCCGTGTGTGTTCCCTGAAGCCGGGTCATAGCCCAGCGCTTGGAAAAGAGGATAGGAACATTCCTAGAGTGGCCTCAGTCTGATAAATTCCTTCTTTCTCTTTTTTGTTGAAAAGTAATTTAAATACCAGATTTAGAACTTAGGGAGAGACACCTCTCTGGCGGGTGGTGGCATTTAAGGTCCAAACAAGCTGGAGGTACTGGTGCTGATTAACAGTCTCGGGTGACTAGAGGCGTGGGTTTGGGTCCCAGACACTGGAACAGGGTTAAGACAGACTGGACACCCTTTTCTCTGCACCAGTGGCATTAGCTGGGTGGTGTAATTGCCTGGCAGGAAAAGCCAGTCAAGCAGTTACAGGGGGATGTATATTTAGTTGGCAGGAATGGGGTGGGAGTAGGGATCCAGATAAAGAACACTGGGGGATCAGCAGTGGGCATAATGGCTATGTCGCTGGACTCCCATGTAGCCGACTGCAGTTTGAGTCCCAGACCCGGTGCCTGAAACTCACACCGGGTGTGTGTGCATACATGCCCAAGATCCTGAGAGGAGAATGGAGGAGAAGGGATTGTGGCGTGGCCATCCCTCCCCTAGGGGGCGATTTCTCGCCTTCTATCTCTCAGTCTCTCTCTGTCTTTCTGGCGAGCGCATACGCCCTATAGCAAAAAGCTCTCCAAATTAAAAAAAAAAAAAAGAGAAAGAAATGAAGAAGGAATTGTGGCCTGATCCATTAGAGGGTAGTTTCTCCTTCTCTCTCTCCCTCTCTCTATCTCTCTTCCTGTCTCTCTCTCTCTGGTGAGCACACTCACTCTCTGACAGCTTCAAACAAACAAACAAAACTAATATGGTTCTTCTGAAAAAATGAAACATTCCAGCAGTGCTGCACATTTAGAATCCTTGTAAAAATGTGAATTTTTGAGAAATATAAACTAGAACCATTCAGTCATCAAATATATCTTGGTGCCTGTGACACACCTTTAGGACCAAAGAGACAACAGTAAGCAAAAGGAGACAGTGCCTGTCCTTATGGAGCCTGAGCTCTCCTGGGGGACATTAAAAACAAACAGAAATCGTCAGAACGAGAAACACACAGCAGGTGGAGGGGGACACTGTGCCCAGCCTGGTCAGGGCGCCCCCAGCCCAGGGACCTCCAAGGAGGCCACGTTCAGCTGAGGCAGCAGGCCAGGTGCCGTGTCTGTAAAGAGCATATAATTTATGCACATTCCCTCATCCTCCAGGGGCTCAGGTGTAGGACTAAAGACCAGTGACCATGTAGCCATGGGTACACGCAAACACCTAACTTTGACTTTACCCCATATGCAAATACATCCGGGTGTGTGCATGCAGAGATCTTATAGCATGCCAGGAAGTCTCTGGGCTGCAGCTGTTCAATGAGGCTACTTTATCTAAGAAATGAGGGAAGATGTCTAGGTGGAAGTAAGGCACCCCTCCGCTCATTGGCTTGTGACCGTGGCTTACTCATCACATAAACCCGAGCTGTGGTCACATACCAGGGCCCAGAAGACACTGGAGACGCCGCTGAGACCTGGCACAAGTAAGTGCTCTTACCGACCTGCACATACATAAGAAATGGCATCTTCTTCACTTGCTAGGCCTTTCGTTTTGTAACTGTAACCTGCTGTTTGTGACTGAGGGACGGTCTTGGGATCTATCGTCACCGTTTAATTCACTTTGGCATTATCTTATCCAGAGCCTATGTTCGTGACCACGTGAGAATCAAACAGTATCTTCTGAGAGAAACAGAGATACGAGAGATTTTAAAAGATCCTTTCAAATGCATTTTACCATAGAAAGTATAGTCAATACTGGAGGAAAACTCTTGACCTAACCAGGGTTTGTAACTGCTTCCAGAATTTTCCCAAGTGATTTCTTTTCAATGTGTGAAGCTGTAGGGGCTTTTATTTCATGGTTTTTCTATTTCTTTTCTTTTACGTTCAAAGATTGTATTGTAATAGTTTCTGTCAGTCTAATGGCCTATGTTGTTGAAGCGTGTCCAGGTTTTGCCAAGAATAGCATTCTATTACCCTTTGGTTTCTGAGACAGATTAAGGGATGTACCCCAGGCAGGGGATTTGAACTCGCGGCTCCCAAAGGATATTTTAGTTCTTTCTCTTGCTTTGGCTTTCATGTGATGAACCATTTAAAACAATATTTAGTTGGTATTTGATTAAAAAAAAATAGAGATCCCAGCTTGCCAATTCAAAAGTAAACATTGAGTGTTTAACTCAGTTAACAAAAATTCTTCTGTTTCTCGATTGTCCTACAATCTAACCCCAACCTGGCAGCTTTTCCAGAACTGAGATTAGTAGGTCATCAGGAAAGCCATGACATCTTTTCCTATGTTTTTCTACACAAACAGGAGTCATGACTTTCCTGACCACCCAGTGACATGTCCAGGGGACACTGAGGTGAGGGAAGCCAGCCCGCCTTATCAACTGTTAGGGGTAATAAAAAGTTATTATCGACCAGAAGATAAACAACAGTACTTCACACAATTGCTATCTGAACCTAACTTTTACAATTCAAAACACCACTCTAGGGACAGAAGGCGTAATGGTCACGTTGCTGGACTCCCATGTAGTCAACCATGGTTCAAGTCCCAGACATGGCAGCTTAAAACTCACACTGGGTGTGTGTGCTTGCATGTCCAAGATCCCATGAGAAAGATGGAGGAGAAGGGATTGTGGCATGGCCATCCCTCATTGGGAGGAGGGTGGTGATTTCTCACTTTCTGTCTCTCTGTGTGTCTGTGTCTCTCTGTCTGTGTCTCTCTGGCTAGAACATGTGCCCTATAGCAAATATACCTGAAAAAAATAAACCTTAACACAGGGTTAGCACATTTTTTAGAGAGATTTTTGCTATAGGGTGTGTGGGCATGCTGGAGAGGCAGAGGTAGAGAGACAGAAAGTGAGAAATCATGTCCAGGGGGAATGGCCATGCTGTAATCTCTTCTTCATTCTCCTCTTGGGACTTTGGGCACACACACACAGATACCAACATGTTTGAAGCCACTGGGTCCAAGACTTGAACCGCAGTTAGCAAAGTAAAAGGCCAACACCCCAACCACTATGCTACCTGCTGGCCTCTGTTAAGCACATATTCAAGTTAAATCTGAATTTGATTGCTAAATTCACATGAGTTTATATGTAAAAGTTTCTTTTCTTTTTAGTTTCCTTTAGGGTCTGTGCGCTCACTAGAGGCGGGGTCAGGGAGTGAGAAATCATCCCCTGGGAGGATGGCCACACTGAAATCCCTTCTCCTCTATGCTCCTCTCGGGATCTGGGGCATGCACACACGTGCACTCTACATGATTTTCAGTCTGTCAGGTTCCAGGACTTGAACTGTGCCATTGGTCATGTGGGATCCAGTCGCCTTAACCTTCACACCACCTGCTGGCCTTTGCTTATGATTTCTTTTTTTGAAGAGTTTTTTGCAATAGGGTGCATGTGTTTGTCAGAGAGACAAAAAGAGAGAAAGAGACAGAAAACAAAGTCAGAAATCAACCCCTCCAGGGGTGGGCGAGGCCACACTGCAATCCCTTCTCCTCTATTCTTTTTTTTTTCTTTTTCTTTTTTTGGAGAGGTTTTTGCTACAGGGCGTGTGCGCTGACCAGAAAGACAGAGCGAGACAGGGAGACAAAAAGCGAGAAATCACCCCCCAGGGGGGATGACCACGCCGCAATCCCTTCTCCTCCATTCTCCTCTCGGGACCTTGGGCACGCACCCACATGCACCTGGTGTGAGTTTAAGCCCCCAAGTCCGGGACTCGAACTATGGTCCACTACATGGGAGTCCAGAGACATAGTCATTAATCTAACTGCTGGTCCCCTCCTCTATTCTTTGTGGGGGATTCTGGGCATGCATGCACACACATCGTGCATGAGTTTCAAGCCACTGGGTCCAGGACTTGAACTACGCTCGGCCATGTGGGAGTCCAGTCCCTTAACCCTCTATACCAGCTGCTGGCTCCAGCTTATATTTTTAAACATCCATTTTATCTGCTATTATGACCCTCCCTTTTGTTGGTAGTATTACTTTTTTTTTTTAAGAATTATTTTATTGGGGCCGGCAGGTGGCATGGTGGTTAAGGGCACTGGACTCCCACATGGCCAACAGGGGTTTGAGTCCCAGACATGGCGACTTGCTTTGTCACTTTCCCTCTCTCTCTCTCTCACTCACTCTGTCCCTCTCTGGTCAAATTGAAATAGATCAATAAATAAATAAAGGTAAAGAAAATAATTTTTAAAAAGAATTATATTTACCTTTGTTTATTTTAATTGGACCAGAGAGGGACAGAGTGAGCGAGAGAGAGAGAGGGAGAGAGAAAGTGAGAAAGCAACCTGTCAGGTCCGTGACTTGAACTGTTGTCGGCCACGAGGGAGTCCAGCGTCCTTAACCACTATGCCACTTGCCAGCCCCTGTTGGTAACATTCTGACTTTTCATGTTTTTTCTTTTATCAGTTTTGCCTGAGGCTCTATTTTTTATTTTAATGTGTAATTACTTAAGTGTTTATTTTTATGTTTTTGTAGTGGGGTTGGCTTGTCAAAAATGATTTTGAGGAGCTGGGTCCAATTAAATAATCCGAAGCTCACCCAAAGGGTGAGAACTCCCCTTCCTCCATCTTCCCCTCCCTCTTCCCCTTTTTTTCTTGTTCTTTAGTTTTTCTTTTTCTGAGCATATACCACGTGTCAGGCACTGTACGGGCACTTCATAACACACTCTTTTCCTTGCCATTTGACCAGTGAGAAAGCTCAAGGTCGAAACAGGGGACTGGCCCAAGGCCACTCGGGCTTCACCTTTGAGAATAAATGGCAGGCGTGACTCCAAGGCACACATTCCCTTCCACCGCCCATCTAATCTAGCCCCCGAGTGTTCATGCACCCCGGGGTGGGGTTGCAATGTGTTTTACCTTCATCCTGCCACCCATCATTCTGATGAAAATAGTGCTTTAATAAAGTGGGGTGATGACAACAGCGATTCAGCGCTAAATGCAGCGAGAGGAGACGGATGTATTCTCTGATCACACCCTCTGCAGTACTCGAGCATTTGTTGTGAATTGCTGTGTCAGTTTCCGCTGGCCATCCAAACGTTTCCTTGGAATTCCTTCGGCTAGTTTTTATGCAAAAGCCTTATAAAATACAGCAAGAACTTTTAGAATCAGTTCATGTTTCTAGTTGCATTATCTTTACTTTCTTTTATTATAAAAATGGGCAGATAAAACTAAAAGCAAACGTTTCCAAGTTTGGAATTTTATAGTTGTAGAAATCAAGTCACCAGACTGTTGCTTAGTAGGACATGTCGTTGTGGAAGTAACGAAGGAACGGCAGGTTCAAGCACAGCTTCACTAATGAGTTACAACCGTTAAAAGGAGGAAAGATAAGCATTTGTCAGATGTTCGTGGACTTGCGCCAAATCTTAGATTTAAAGATATATTTGCAGAGAAATATGGACAGCTACCAACTTGCGTGAAGAATTTTAAAATCTCTTCTTTACTCGAGTGGCATTCAATATAAAATAGCATGACTTTGCAAATTAACAGCAGCAAAGACAACACCTCTGCTCTCATGCAGAAGTCAGGAGCTGGACACTGGCATTTATGTGGAATTTGATTGAAGGAGACAATTATATGTCTAATTTTTTTTTAATTTTGCCAGAGGGTACATGTGCTCACTAGAGATGGACAGGGAGATAGAGCTAGAGGGAGAGAGAGAAAGCACCCCCCGGTGGGGTACAGTCAAACCACAGCCCCTCCTCCATTTCTCCATCCTGCTGGGATTTGGGGCTCAAGTGCATGTGCACCTAGCATGTTTTTCAAGCCCTCAGAGCTGGGATTCCAACCATTCAGTCAGCCATGTGGGATCTGCCTCCTGTAACCATTACACTATGGAGGCAGCCTTCTTTAATTTTTAAAAAAGTCTATTTCATGAGAGGAAGACAGACAAAGACAAGCACCCTCAAGATCACAACTGCAGTCCTCCCTGTGCATCTGAGCTGGCTGGGATCACAGACGTGCGCACCTGTCATGTACAGGTGGACAGGGGCACCAAACCCTTGACCTTCCATGTGGATCCAGCATCGCTAGAGCAGTGTGCCACTGCTGCACCACCGAGCTGACCTTTACATGATGACTTTTCAATGCTGATCATGAAAGACATACACCATCTGTGTACACGTATGAAAAGTATGTCATTTTTAGTGGAAATATTGACTAATGCAGCAAAAATAAACTAAAAATTTTATATAAAGGGGGGCCAGCAGATGGCATAGCAGTTACATTGCTGGACTCCCACATGGCCAACCAGGGTTCAAGTCCTGGACCCAGTGACTTAAAACTCACGTTGGGTACATGTGCGTGAGTGTGCCCAAGATCCTAAGAGGAGAATGGAGGAGAAGGGATTGCAGCATGGTCATCCCCCCCTGGAAGGCAATTTCTCACTTTCTCTCTCACTGTCTCTGTCTCCCTATCTCTCTAAGGAGCACACATGCCCTAAGGCAAAAGTCTCTCAAAAAAAAAAAAAAGAAGATATAAATGCTTTTCAGATAGATACTGCAACTAAGAATGAAACTTTTTCCACTCTGTAGGATTTTGTTTTGTTTGTTCTGTTTGAGATTTGAAACAAATGGATAAAGGAATTTAATAACTGTGCTTTTTATTTCTTAGGAATGATCCTTTCATTGTGATCTGAAAATTATTGTCTTTTTTTTTTTTTTTTAGAAGAAATCTTTCATTTTACCTTTTTTTAAAGGTTGATTGGTTTTGGGAACCAGCAGTTAGCGTAATGGCTATGTCGCTGGACTCCCACATAGTCAATCGCGGTTCGCGTCCCAGACCTAGTGGCTTAAAACTCACGCCGGGCGCGTGTGCGTGTGTGCCCAAGATCCCAAGAGGAGAATGGAGGAGAAGGGATTGTGGCGTGACCATCCCCTTCTGGGGGATGATTTCTCGCTTTCTGTCTCTATGTCTCTCTCTGTCTGTCTGACGAGTGCACATGCCCTATAGCGAAAACCTCTCCAAAATAAATAAATAAATAAATAAAGGTTGATTGGTTTTATTTCTTTGAAGAGAGATAAAATTTTTATCCCTTTGTAAAGAGAGAGGGAAACAGTCACCCTGAGCAGGACTGTGCCATGCAGCTCTGCCCCCCACACCCCAGGCCTCTGGTTAGCCAGGATCATGGGTGTGTGTGTGCACATGCGTGTGCCCATGTGCTTCAGGTCAGCCCAGAGTCCAGCCGGGTTTCCCCCATGGCTTCCACACTGCAGGGCGGCGCCCTCCGCCTGCACCACTGTGGCTGGCCTCTCCATTTCCTATCACTGTTTTCACTCTTAGATCTTTCCTACCCTTCATTTCTAAGCTCAGCATTTCTAAGTAACCTGGAAAACAGCCCCATTGTCCTGATGGGCATTGCATTTAGTCCCGCAAATGTGAACTCCTTTATCTACATAATTCACCCCAGAAGGAATATGGGGCTATAAATCACAGATACTTTTACTTGTTTATTTTTTAGATTTTTGCCATAGGGTGCATGTGCTCTCAGGAGAGAATCAGAGAAAAACAGAGAGAGGGAAAGTGAAAAATGGCCACTCCTCGGGGGTGGGGGGGTTGGCTACACCACAGTCCCTTCTCCATTGTTCTGCAGGATTTGGGGCATCATGTAGATACCTCCAGTGTGATTTTCAAGCCACCTGGTCTGGGGCTCAAACCTCAGTCAGCCATGTGGGAATCCAGAGCCTTAGCCAGCATGCCACCTGCCTGTCCTAATCATGGAATTTTTTTTTAGTTTACTCAATTCCTCCCTCTTCAGAGAGTGTTCTCCTGCATATGTGTGGTCTACATCACAGGTCCCTGAGGTGGGGGCTGGACTGGCTGAAAGTGGGCTCGCAGGAATATCCAGGTGGCTTCATGTTTCTGACAAGGTGCATCCGCTCCACTGCACAGCTGCCATGCTCGGAGGGCCAGGGGCCAGAGAAACAGGGGATGCCATCATTGTCCTTGCCTGGACCTGGAGAGGGTCTAGACAGGCAGCCACACGGTTATGTCCAGGTCGTCTTCTCCACAGGGAGCAGGAATATATGAACTTGAGGTTGGCCCTTGTTGATCTAGACTTGTATGGCTTGTTGACGTCTATGCGATGTTATTTCAGGTGGAACTTGATGAGGCTTGAGCCCAACTTTTCTTTTTCTGCGGTATGTGTGTGGTGTTTTAGACAAGCCCTTTCTGGATCTCAATCCAGAAATCTCCTGCCTCAGCCTATCTAATGGAATGAGAGGCCCACACCACCACACCTAGTTTTTAGGGTGGTCTGGGAATTGAACCCAAGCCTCATTCTGCTAAGTCCAGCATCCAGCTACTTTGGCTAGGCCTCAACTTTTCCTTGTCTCTAATTCTTCACTAATTTTCTTTGAAAAATTTCCTTAATAGAGAATAAACATTTTAAGCTCACCACATTAAATAAATAATTGTTGTTATGTTTATTTTTGACTTTAGAACATGAGTTCAAACTTGTTATTATCAACACTAAGCATTAGGACGTGCCTTAGTCTGCACACCTGCTACTAACCGAAATGTCCGAGACTGGATCTCTCATTAAGAATAGAGATTGACTTGGTTTCCAGTTCTGATGGCTAGAAAGGCCAAAGGCATCGGGTTGGTCTCTGGTGCTACATTACAACATGGGTGACAGAAGCAGAGGGGACGGCCAGCACACGCAGGGAGAGAGCCACCGGGGGGCAACCACCTTCCTTCTATAACAGCTCGCTCACTTGGAACTAAGCCTTATCATGAGAGCTAATATCACCCCTTCTCACGTAACAGAATTCATTCATTCATGAGGGAGGATTCCATGATCCAGCCACCACCCACCAGACCTCATCTTTCAAAGGTTTCGCCGGCTCCCAATGCCATTACACTGGGGATGAGAACGTGAACCTTGGGGGGACAGACCACTATCTAAACCATGCGTTAAGTGTTTAGTGTTGTGCTGCATACTTTACACACCCAGGTGGGTGCCACATCCATTTATAAGACATGGGCTTTGGAATTCAGGGAGACTTAGTTAACAAGCACCCAAACATACAGCAACTAAGTGGAAGAACTGAATTTCAAAGGGAACTGTTTCTTTCTCGGCTGCTGTATCATTATAAAATTATAATGCATTCCTCTATAAGTGCTTCAGATCATTAAGTATTTATAAACAGTGGAAATACAATGATACAAGTCACAGAAAACTCACAAAATAATCCTGATATAACCAAGACCAGCAAACTTTCTGAAATGTAAGAGAAGTTTGTTTATTTCCTCCACAAAGGAAGTGGAGCGGTACGCTCAGCAGCCGGTGTGCAACAGGTGGGTTTGTAAGGTGCATGCAACCCAACCCCAGCTCGGATTTAGTATGTTGGAACTGCAGGGAGTGATTCTCTTTGAGGTCCAGGGAAAAGCCACAGGTGAGGGAAGGGGGGAACGACAGGTGGACATGCCATTCACATTCCTCTTGCTCTGCATTCCTTGGCTTTGACTGTCCTTCCCCAGCTGTCCTCACAGACTCCGAACGGTGTCACCAGATCAAACAAAACAAACACAATGTCAAATGCCACACATCACACGTGACCAGTGCAGGGCAAAGCCATCTTAAAATGACAAGTTTTTAATCCATGCTCTGAAGGTTCACGTGGAGGTACCCTCTCAGTCTGAACACCTTTGTAAGTAAAATTTGAATTTGGTTATTTCACTGGAATGTTCCAACTAGTGCCGGGGTGGCAAAGAGGAAAGAGAGAGCAGAAGAGAGCTTATTTCTATCCATTTTCCCATATGCTATTATATACTGATTCATAAATTTGGCTTTGAAATATCCTTTAGTATCTCCAGTGATTGTTTTTTTTTTCTTTTTTGAGAGGTTTTTGCTATAGGGCACATGCGCTAGCCAGAAAGACAGAGAGAGACAGAGAGATAGAAAGTGAGAAATCACCCCCACCTCAGGAGGGATGGCCACTCTGCAATCCCTTCTCCGCCATTCTCCCCTCAGGATCTTGGACACACACACACATGCACCCAGCATGAGTTTAAGTCACCGGTTTCGGGATTCGAACCCTGGTCAACTACATGGGAGTTCAGCGACGTAGCCATTACGCTAACTGCTGGCCCCAGTATCTCCAGTGATCTTAAAAGATGTCATAAAGTGTTTTGTTTTGTTTTGTTTTGTTTTGTTTTGTTTTACCATAGGGTGCATGTGTTTGCCAAAGAGGAGGGAGACAGAGAGAGAGAGAAAGCGAGATATCACCCCCATGGGAGATGGCCATACTGCAATCCTTTCTCTTTCTTTCCCCTCTCAGGACCTTGGGCATACATACGCATGTGCCCAGTGTGATTTTCAAATCACCAGGTCCAGGAATTGAACCAGTCAGCTATGTGGGAGTCCAGCTACCTTAATCACCATGCCATGTGCTGGCCTTGCTATGAAAAAATTTGAAAAACTGTCCTCAAGGGACCAGCAGGTGGCGTGGTGGCTAAGATGCTGGACATTCCCACATGGCCGACCGTGATTCCCGTCCCGGACCTGGTGGCTTGCTTTCTCAGCTTCCCTCTCTCTCTGTCTGTCTCTGTGTCTTTCTCTGCTCAGATTTAAGAATAAATGAATAAATAAATAAAATTAAAGAGTAATTATTTTTAAAAAAGCACACAAACAAACAAACAAATTGTCCTCGAAGAGAAATACTGAGACATCTCAAGAGGGTTATTAAAATAATCCTTCCCTTTTTCTCTTTCCAGAGCGCAAGATGCCAAGCTACAAACTCACTTATTTTAATATGAGGGGGAGAGCAGAAATCATCCGGTACATATTTGCTTATTTGGACATCAAATATGAAGACCATAGAATAGAACAAGCTGACTGGCTCAAAATCAAATCAAGTAAGTGACACGAAGAGTAAGTCATGAAAACGTAGGGGGAAATGCTTTCAGAACCTTTTGCCTTTCCTTTGGGAAATAAAAACTAAAAAAATAACTCATAGTTTTCAACTGAGAAGTAGCAATTTGGGCAAACTAAATAAATGATATGGGTCTCAGCAAATTTCCTCTTAGAAGTGAAAACACAAACACCTCAGGAAGCGAATATAATGATAAACCAATATAAAGCTTGTATCAGGGAGGGGAAATGAACATGAGTTGTATTCTTATTTCTGTTTTATAGTTGGGATAACAGAAGTGTGCAGAGTTTAGGTCATCTTTCTCATTTCACAACCCTATCAAACAGAATTGAGTTTCAAACCAGGCCAATTTAACACCATGGCCTAAGTTATTTGCACAGATAATGCAATACAATGCAATAACAACAGTTTTATGGTTATTGACCTATGAATAATAAATTTGCATGGCTGGCCCCATCTCCTAGTCATAAAGGGTGCTGAATTTCACATGGTCCACCACAATTTGAATCTGGGCTTCTGTGGCTTGAGTGCATGTGTGTGCCCCAAATCCCAATAGGACGGAGAAATGGAGGAGAAATTATGGTGTGATCATTTACATGGAGGGAGAGGGCTTTCTCACTTACCCTCTTTTTCTGTCTTTCTCCAGTGAGTGCACATGCCCTCTGGCAAATTTTTAAAAAAGAAAAAAATGGAATGTCTACATTTTCTTAATATTTTCAGAGATTCCTAGAGTTAAAGATCTTAAACTCCATGATAGTTACAATATAATGCTTTAATGAACAGAGAACCAATATAATAATATGAGTAATAAGATATGAATAGAAGAGACAACCCTCAGAATGGGAGAATATATTTGCAAATTCTCCCTCAGTAAGAGACTGATAAGCAAAATATACAGGGAACTCAAGCAGTTTACCCCCACGCACAAAAATCAATCCAATTAAAAGATGGGCAAATGAACTAAACAGACAACTCTCCAAGGAAGACATACGAACAGACAAAAAGCATATGAAAAAGTGCTCAACATCCATTATTATAAGGGAGATATAAAGATTAAAAAAAAGTAGTTCCCTTCTTCAATATGCTGCATCTGGGGGCTGCATCTGGGGCTAGGAGGTGGTTTAGTATTTAAGGCTCTGAATGCTCCTATAGTTGACCGTGGTTCAAGTCCTGGACCCAGTGGCTTGAAACTCATGCCAGGCGCATGTGCATGCATGCTCAAAATCCCAAGAGGAGAAAGGAGAAGAGATTGTAGAATGGCCACTACCCAGAGGGGTGTGTGTGTGTGGGGGGGTTCTTGATTTCTGCCTCTCCAGCATACACGCCCGATAACAAAAATCTCTTTAAAAAAAAAAAAAGTGCTTGGCCATTGGGATCTCAGAGGAGCCGCCAGCCAGTTTTGATGCAGTGGATTCAGTGTCATGGAAGAGGTAAGGAATGACCTCATAGGAATACACAGGGAGCATGGGGACCAGCAGGAGGTGTGGTGGTTAAGGCACTGGCCACTCCCACATGGCCAACCATGGTTCAAATCCTGGACCTGGTGTCTTGCTTTCTCACTTTCCCTCTCTCTCTCTTTCTGTGTCTCTCTCTGGTCGAATTTTAATTAATTAATTAATTAATTAAAATAATTCTTTAGAAAAGAAAAAAGGAATACACAGGGAGTGCAGGGCCTAATCCAGACTTGGCAAGTGTCAGGAAGGCTTCCTTCAAGAGGGGATGGATGTGGAGCATTTTGAGGGAGGAAGACTACCGTAGGCAGAAGAGGAAGATGTGTGAGAGAAGACCAACAAGCTTCACGAAGAAGAAACTTCTTTTCCTGGAAGCTGAACAGAGCAATAGGGAAACCTCTGAAAGAGAAATGAGGAAAGGCCAAGAAAACAGGAGACGTGTGTTTCCAGAAAAGCCGTTTTCCTAGCTGCAGCCTTCCTGCACCCGTTCTGTCCTTTTCCAGGATATACCTAGGCCCCTTACAAGGCCGAGAAGATAAGTCACTTGAACTCACAGACCACGAGCCAGTGAGGAACTAGGCCCAAGAGTGGAATTCTCTCTGTCAAGACTTCGTGGTCCACAAAGAGAATGTGGAAGATTTTCAGAATCGAAATGGAGTCATTTGTGTCAGCCCTGACTAAACTAGCATGTGTGATAACAAGAACGGTTAACAACTCTGCCAGAATCACAGCCTTGCACAAAGACCACTTCTTCAAGGCCATCTGGCCAGACACTGTCCTGTCCTCCTTGGACTGCTGTTGCCTTTGTTACTGATCCTGGTAGTCAAGGATAACTGTCTCAAAATAACTGGTATAATCTCCTCTTATTGTTTTAAGGATTATTTATTTAGTCTTATTATTAGTGTTATTTTTCAGTTTGCTACAGGACACATGTGCTCACTAGAGAGAGACAGAGAAAGAGAGAGGGGAAGTGAGAAAGCAAGCCACCAGGTCCAGGACTTGAACAGTTTTCAACCATGTGGGAGTCCAGCACCCAATCACCACACCACCTGCTGGCCCCAGTTTCCTCTTTTCTTTCCCCTCTTGCTTGAGGTGTTTACCTTTTAAACCCGTCTGAAGACTGGAAGACCGTGGAGAGTCAGTTTGGGGGTACCTGAAATACACTCATCCAGGCTGTGCCCTGGTGCAATCTTCAAATGTATGCCAAATAAAGTCATTTTTATTGGAAAGAAAGAACAAAGATAGAAATCTCTTTTGCAGGACCAGCAGAGGACGTAATAGCTATGTCACTAGACTCCCATGTATAGTTGACCGCGGTTTTAGTCCCAGACCCAGTGGCTTAAACTCATGCCGGGCGCGTGTGCGTGCGTGCCCAAGATCCTGAAAGAAAAGTGGAGGAGATGGGGTTGCGGTGTGGCCATCCCCCCAGGGGGTGATTTCTTGTTTTCTGTCTCTGTCTTTCTGGTGAGCGCACGTGCCCTATAGCAAAAACCTCTCCCCCCCAAAAGAATAAAACCCAAGTTTGGGACTGGCATGGTAGCCAGTGGCTAAGGGAGCCAGACCTATCAATACATGGCTGATTGCAGTTTGAATCCTGGCCCTGGCAGCTTGAAAAACACTCCAGATGTGCATGCACACGTCCCAAATCCAACAGTACAGAGAAATGGCAGAGAAGGGGTTGTATGGCCACACTCTATTGGGGGGGGGGTGCTTTCTCTCTGTCTCTGTCTCTCTCCAGTGAGAACATGCACTTTCTGTCAATTAAAATAAATACATAAATAGCAACAACAGAAAAACAAAATACCCAAGTTCACACAGCGATTTTGTTCCATAAAGTTGTCAAAGATCAGGCTTCTTCTTTCCTGCTGACCTGCATCCCCTGGCTATCCTATTTACACTCTAAGATAGTCCTAACTCTCCTACATTCAACCTAGTGAGCCCTGTGAGGAGGGGAAGGCACACCTCTTCCTTTTTTTTTTTTTTTTTAAGAGCTTTTGTTTGGTATAAGGCGCGTGTGCTCACCAGAAAGACAGACGGACAGAGAGACAGAAAGCGAGAAATCATCCCCTAGGGGGGATGGCCATGCAGCAATCCCTTCTCCTCCATTCTCCTCTCAGCATCTTGGGCACGCACGCACACACGCACATGCGCCCGGCATGAGTTTAAGCCACCGAGTCCGTGACTGGAACCGCTGTGGACTATATGGGAGTCCAGCAACATAGCTATTACGCCAACTGCTGGTCCCTCACATCCCTTCCTTTTAACAGCATCCTTACCAGCAAATTAAGCCCCACCGCTTCTACTCACAGTCAATGAAACGAGAGGCTGAGAGTTCGAGGCCTAGGCTGGAGAATGGAGTTTCTGTAGCCGGATTACAGTCAGTAAGCACCACCAAATGGGCTGAAAAAGCTCAGCATATGTTCAGTATTTACAGAGACAAGCACATGGAAATTGTTCCTCATTACCATCCATCAGAGTCAATCACTTTCCCCTGAGCAATTATCCTGATTCCTATTTTCTGAAAATACCCATTCCTAGTTTCTCATCTAACCTTCCCTCAAACATATCCCCCATGACTTGGCACTTAGTTAGATTGTTCTCATTAGAGGTCTTTCTTAATTTAAAAATGGCTGCCGTCCTGCTAACCCTCAAGTTGGCCTGCTTCAGCTTGACCAGAAAGTTACATAGGTCATTTCTGCTTGCATTACCTCAGCAAGAACTTAGTTACATGATCTCACATGAACTGCTATAGAGGAGCTGGAAAATACTGACTTTATTGTGGGTAACCATTTACCTAGCTAAAAATTTAGGATTTTAGTAATTGAGGAAGAAATGAAAGAACAGATACTGGAAGTGGTTTCCATTACAAATATTATTTGGTTTCATCTCTCATCCAATTTAGCAATATTCTCTAGTGTTTGAAATCTTGACATCCCTTTAGCTAGAATCGAGACCTAAACCTTCATCAACACATTCCATCACTAGATAGTCCATTAAAAATTTATTCTTGAACCAGCCCCCGTAACCTAGTGTTTAAGGGAATTGGATCCCACACGGCTGACCATGGTTGGAATTCCAGCCCCAGTGGCTTAAAAAACATACTGGGCATGTGTGAATGCACGTTCTCAATCCTGACGGGATGGAGAAATGGAAGAGAAGGGTTTGTGGCATACCCATGGTGAGGGGGTGAGGAGATGTGCTTTTCTTCCTCTCTCTCTGTCTCTCTTTCTCTGACAAGTGTACACATCTTTTAGCAAAAATAAAAAAAAATCTTTCTGCTTAAACTCGGTGAATTGTGCTCGTATGTTTACATTTTTTTCTTTCTTTAATAATATTAAAGTGCTTCAAAAAGAATAAATAAATAAGGCAAAAGCCCATTAGGACAAAGAAATCAGGCTTGCGTATGATGGCACAAAATTCTGGAGGTAAAAAGTGTAAAGAACGGTGAGGGGGACCAGCAGATGGTGGAATCATTTCGTCACTGGAGTCTCAGGTAGTCAACCACAGTTTGAATCTCGGACCTGGTGGCTTAAAAACTCACCCCAGGTGCATGTGCATGCCTACCCAGAATCCCAACAGGAGAATGGAGAAGGGATTGTGGTGTGGCCATTCCCCCTGGGGGTGGATTTCTCACTTTTTGTCTCTGCCTCTCTCTGTCTCTCTGGGTGAGCACACATGTCCTATAACAAAGGTCTCTTTCTAAAAAAAAAAAAAAAAAAAGAGATAAGGTGACCTAATAGACCCACCAGGGTCAAACATGACTTCATAACCTCTACCTGAGGTGTGACCTAGAAAAACCTATGTAACCTCTGTTAACCTCTTTGGATAATAGTTTGTCCCCTGAGGTTTCATGTTTCGGAATGAGATTTTACTGAGTGGTAATCAGAGGGAACCTCCCCTCCCCCTACCAAAGTTCACGTGCTGGGACTTGGTTGAACTGTCCAGGTTTTAAGTAAAAACTTAACCCCTTCATGGGGTCCCAGAGCGGGGCCTTTGGGTCTGATGAAGTCGTCATGATTGAGTTCTGGTGTGTGTATAAGGAGAGGAAATGAGGCAGGCAGAGCCTACACGGACACTGACGGGACTAACAGAAACTTACAGGCAGGTACTCTGTTCAAGAGCCTGCCTTCCGCCATATTGTTGCCACCGTGGAAGTGGGCCCCTGGACCCTAGATCTTCAAACCATGAGCTGAATAAACCTTTCTTTCTTCATAAGTTCATGCAGTCTCAGGTATTCCTATAAGAAATGCAAAAATAGACCAAGACACTGACTTAATTGATTAAATGAGAGAATAGTTAACACTCACCTCAAAGGGTTGTTGTAAGTACTGGAAGACTTAATGGGAATAAGTAGTAAATGCCTAGAACACCTCCCTCAAACTATTATAAGGCATATTGATACCTTCCTTTGGCTTCAAATAAGGTATTCCAACTCATGTCAGCTTTATTTGGGGCTTTGTTTTGCACACTGCAGTATCTCTGGCACCAAGAATAGTACTTGGCACATTTAGAGGTGAGTGGGCAAAGATGTTTTCATTCCTGACGTGAACCGTAGTTCATCCTGCACTTTCGGAGCATGCACATGAAAGTCACTCGAAGGAAGTACATGAAGCTGGTTCCAGTAGTCATGTGAGTCATGTGATTACAGGTTACACTTTACTATGTTCCTTCTTTCCAAAAATTCAAGGAAATTTCAAAAAGTTTTAAAACAATGGAATAAATTACAAATTTATTTTGGTATACAAACTTTTGAAATCCATGCATAGTTTTTTCATAATATGTGTTTTCCATGAACTTTTGGAAATCCCTTTATAATTATATGTCCAAAACTAAGTCTCTGGGAAAAGTGTGATCAGTACACAAGGCATCAGGTCATTAAAAAGTTGGTGTCAGGGCCAGCAGGTGGTATAGTGGTTAAGGTCCTGGACTCTTACATGGCCAACTGTGGTTGAAGTCCCGGACATGAGAGCTTGAAACTCACACCAGGCATGTGTGTATGAATGCCCAAAGTCCCAAGAGGAGACTGGAGGAGGACTGCAGCATGGTTAACCCCCCTGCAAAAGTGAATTCTCACTTTCTCTCCCTCTAGGTCGCTCCAGCGAGTGTACATGCTCTATGGCAAAAAACTTTAAAAGAAAAAGAAAAAGAAAAAGACAGTGTCTAGGAGCCAGCTGGTGATGTGGTGGTTAAGGTAGTAGACTCCCACGTGTACGACCGTAGTTCAAGTCCTGGGCCTTCTCACTTTCTCTCTACTCTCTCTCTGGTGAGCACAAGTGCCCTATGGCAAATACATAATAATAATAATAAATAAATTTAATTAAATAATCATTTTTTTAAAAGATGGTGTCTAATTGATATAGAAATATTTTAAAAAGATACTACCAGGCCAACCCGTTGCATGGTGACTAGATCCCACGTGGCTGACTGTGTAGTAAGAGCCCTGAACCCAGTGGCTTAAAAAACACGCGAGTATGTGTACATGTGTCCCAAAATCCCAAAGGAAGGGAGCAACTGAGGAGAAAGGATTGAAGTGTGACCATTCTCCACAGGAGGTGCTGTCTCACTTTCCCCATCTCTCTCTCCTTTCCTCCCCAGCAAGCCCGTGTGCCTTCTGACAAACTGGAAAAAATAAATAAATAAGTCAAATGAAAAAAATTGTTTTAGAAACCATTGTATTCATTACGATTTTATTTTTAATCTATATGAGAAAATGAGTCAATATTAAACTGGTTATAACTGTGGTAGAATTATTTTTATAAATTTAGAAATTTTCTATAGCAAATGTGTCATACCTTGTAACCAAAATCTAATAGGTTTGTAGTTTTTAAATGTAATATTTACAGATGTTAATAAACTATATGGTTATCTGCTAGAAGTCTGTCCTGGATGTGTGTAGATGCTCATATCAAATTGTCCCTCATCACAGGAAAACATAGGCTAAATTCTGTACTCTTAACACAACATGCAGACCAACTCTTCATCCTCAGACTACGACTTCCTCTTTCTTTTTTTTTTTTAATAGGGAGCATGAGTTTGTCAGAGAGGAGAGAGACAGAGAGAGAAAGTGAGAAGAGAAAAGAGAGAAAGTGAGAAATCAGCCCCCACGGGAATGGCCACACCGCAATCCCTTCTCTTTCATTCTCCTCTCAGGATTTTGGATTCACATGCACCTGACATGATTTTCAAACCATTGGGTCAGGGACTTGAACCATGGCTGGCCATGTGGGAATCCAGCTGCCTTAACCATTATGCCATCTGCTGGCCCCCTTTTTTGTCTTTTTAAATTCACAGAGGGTGTATGCACTTTCCAGAGCGAGACAGACAGAGGGTAAATAAAAAAGCACCTCTTTCTTCTTGGGGCAGGTTGTGCCGCAATCCATTCTCTTCCACTTCTCCCTCCTTTCGGAAGCTGAGCGTGCACCCACACACACAGTGTGTTTTTCAAGCTGCCAGGTCCAGGACATGAACCGTAGGTGCCAATGGCCATGCAGGATCCAGCGCCTTAGGCACCACATTACCTGCTAACCCGATGAAGCTGTAAAAAAAGTTTTTCTTTTTTTTAAACTAAGTACTAATTGTATGAGCAATATACATATATATATGTATATGTGTGTGTATATATATATATGTGTGTATATATATATGTGTGTGTATATATATATGTGTGTGTGTATATATATATGTGTATATATGTATATATATATATATTAGTATCACTATAGATCTGGGTTTTAGAAACAGTTCTTTCTGGACCAGCAGATGGCGGTAATGGATACATCCCATGTAGTTGACTGTGGTTCGAGTCCTGGACCCAGCAGATTAAAACTCACACTGGGCAACTGTGTGTGCCCAAAATCCTGAGAGGAGAATGGAGGAGAAGGGACTGCACTGTAGCCATCCTGAGGGCAGGGGGTGATTTCTTGCTTTCTGTCTCTCTGTCTCTCCAGTGAGTATATGTACTCTATAGTAAAAATCTCTCTAAAAAAAAAAAAAAGAAAAAAAGAAAAAAGCAGTTCTTTCACTAACTTTCTAGCAGGTCATCTAACTTTTGTGTTTTATCTTATAAAATGTAAAGATTCCAGTAGAGGTTATCAAATGTCCTTTCAAAAAAAAAACATTTTGGGTTAGCCAGTGGCAGGGTACTTCAGGTGGCCGGGTCCCACATGGTTAACAATGCAGTTAAAGTTCCAGATCTAGCAGCTTGAAAAACATGCCAGGCACATGTGTGTACATGCCCACAATCAGAAAAGAGAAATAGAGAAGGGAGTGGGGCATGATCATTCTTCATGAGGAGTCTTTCTCATTGTCTCACTGTCTCTTTCTCCAGCGAGCATGTGCAGCCTCTGGCAAATTTTTTTTAAAAATTAAGAATGTCATGACTTTAAAATCACGCTTTGCTTTACACTATTATCAGTACAAGTTGAAGTATTCAAACACTTGGTTTTGTTATAAAATTAATGCTATGCTAATTTTGTTTCAAGCTGTTCCATTTGGCAAAATCCCCATTTTGGAAGTCGATGGATTTATCCTTCACCAGAGCCTAGCAATAGCGAGATACTTGACCAAAAACACAGGTAATGTATTTACAGTGTTTAAGGATTTTGATAACTGAAAAAAATAACATGAAATATGTTCAATATTCATTAGGTAAGTTCATCGTAAACATCGTAGTGTACATAGGAATGGAATTAAATGCTCACGCAGTACACACACACATCTGTATTAGCTTAACCTCCCATAAATTCTCTAGGCTGTTAGACAGCTTTATTTGATATCCCCCTGCCTTTCCTTGCCCTCCCAAAAGTCTTTACAAAGTTATCTGAAAAATTGGACAGATATGTCTCAACTAAAATGTTTGCTAGTGTGCATATCATAAATTGTGGAGGAAAACAATTAGCAGGAAAAACACACATACGGGGGTCGAAATCCCTTAGACATCAGGTACTCCATGGTGTCCTCAGCCTAAGAACGGAAAGGGCGTCTTTGCCTCCCCAAGTACCATGTGAGGCATTGGGAAGTGAGTAGCTGGCTTCTGACTGTTTTCAGCACTGGCTGCTCCCATGGTGTTGATGAGAAGCCGAAGGACTGTTTAGCCCTGCCTTGGCTTGAAGCCCTTTCTCCAGCCCTGTGCTCCATGGCCTTCCCTAGGCCCTCACCCTCCGCTCACATTCTTTTTAAAAAGTAAAGAGCTACTTTTGTGTTTCTTTTAAAGCCTATTTCTTTCCCTTTTACATTTTTTTTTTTATCTTTTAGAGAGATTTTTGCTATAGTGTGTATGCGCTTGCCAGAGAGAGTGAGTCAGAGACAGAAAGTGAGGAGTCACCCCCCGGAGGGATGGTCACACAGCAATCCCTTCTCCTCCATTCTCCTCTTGGAATTTTGAGCATATACACGTGCCTGGCCTGAGTTTTAAGCTGCCGGGTCTGAGACTTGAACCGCGGTCGACTACGTGGGAGTCCAGCAACGTAACCATTACACCATCTGCTGGTCCCAAGCATTTACATTCGTAACAATTTCCCAGATGATGCTAATACAGCCAGTCCATGGATCTCACATTGAGAATAACTGGGCTAGAACACGCCAGGCACAGAGAAATGGTGTGAGAGAAATGAACTTCCAATTTGCAGGGTAGAGGAGAAAAAGAAAGAAAACTTCTTAGAAACAGGTTAGATCTGGTTAGAAAGATTCCGAGTACGGCCTTCATTCCTTAAGCAATTGTAGGTTTTACCTAGAAAAGCAATGTATCTACAGCTAAGCGTGCGGGATGATCATCGCGGTCATACTTCCTGGTTGCTTGGCACGCCCACAGGAAGGCACGTTAGAAAACTGAATCATCAGGCCAGCCTGATCATTTAACCTGGTAGTTAAAGGTGCCAGGTCCCACATGGCCGACTGACAGTTTGAATCCAAGCCCGGGTGGCTTGAAAGGCACTGGGTGTGTGTGCACGTGTGCCGGAATCCCAGGATAATGGAGAAATGGAGGAAAAGGGATCGTGGTATGGCCACACCCCATGGGGGTGCTTGCTTGCTCTTTGTCTTTCTCTGGTGAGTACACATGCCCCCTGGCAAATTTTTTAATAAGAAAAAGAAACAATGAATGCATACAAAGAAATTAATCAAAGAAGTTACAAACAAAGGAGACAGGTACAGGAGTCAAATGAGGTGGACCGGCTGCAGTGGAAGCTGGTTTGCACTGGACATTGCTTTATAATGCTTTGAGTTTTCAACCATTTGAATACACTAGCTTTTAAAAGCGAATACAGTTTTTAATATAGTAAATTAAATTGTGCATGTTGGTGTGCCTCTCTCTACTCCATAGATCTGGCTGGGAAAACAGAAGTGGAACAATGCCAAGTTGATGCCATTGTGGACACTTTGGATGATTTCATGTCACGTTTTCCTTGGGCAGAGAAAACGCAGGATATAAAAGTAAAGTGACCAGTTTGTTATTACCACTATTCATCGCACACCACTTGCCAGGTGTTGTGTGAGGTGCTTTAACAAGTTTTATTTTTTTTCTTTTTCATTTTTTTAGAGATTTTTACTATAGGGTGTGAGCACTCATTAGAGAGTCAGAGACAGAAAGCGAGAAATCGCTCCCCAGGGGGTGGCCATGCTGCAATCCCTTCTCTTGGGATTTTGGGCACATATGTGCACGACACCTGGCGTGAGTTTTAAGCTGCTGAGTCTGGAACTTGAACTGCAGTTGACTACTACAATGACATAACCATTATACCATCTGCTGGTTCCAACAAGTTCATTTTTATCAAAGGAGTACGTGCGCACAATTTAAAAATATTAAACTTTATTAAAAAGTTTAAAATAGGGGCTGGCAGGTGACGTGGTTGTTAAAGGCACTAGACTCTTACATGGCCAACCACAGTTCAAGTCTCTGACCTGGTGGCTTTCTCTCTCTCTCTCACTCTCCCTCCCTCTCTCCCTCTCTCCCTGTCTCTCTCTGGTCAAATTGGAAAATAAATAAATAAAGTTAAAATAAAGTAACTCTTAAAAATAAAGCTTAAAGTAATTGACAGTGATTGGGGACAGCAGGTGGTGTGGCGGTTAGGGATGTTGGACTCCCACACGGCCGACAATAGTTCGAGTCCCAGACCTGGTGGCGTGCTTTTTCACTCGCTCTCTCACTATATCCCTCTCTGATCAAATTTAAATAAACAAATAAAATACATAAGGTTAAATAAAATATTCTTTAAAAAAGTAAGTAATAGCGATTTTCTGCCCTGCCCTTTCACATCAGCCCACCTCCAGGTAGAGCCCTCTCTCTCCTTTTAAAAATCCTTTCTGCTTTTTCTGTAAGATTTACACATCTTTACATTTCCTGCTGCTCCTGCTTCTCTCCCTCCTTTCAGGATTTGGGACACACACGCACACACGCCTGGTGTGTTTCTCAAGCCACTGGTACACAACTCAAACCACGAAGTTGCCCATGTGGGATCTGGCTGCCTTAACCACCAGGCCATAGACCTGGCCCAACAATGTTCATTTTATTATATTTAATTTTTTGCCAGGGGTCATGTGCATGCAAGACAGAGTGGAGAAAGTATCCCCCAGTCTGGTCATGCTTTTTCTCCTCCATTCTCCGTCCCCGTGGGATGGAAGCATGTATGCATGTGCCTAGTGGTTTTCAAGCAATTGAGGCTGGGATTTAAACCCACAGTTGGCTCCCAATGCACAGCAGTTAACCATATGGAGCTGGCCCTTTTAAAATAATTGCAACTTCGGGGCCAGCAGGTGGTGTGGTGGTTGAGGCGCTAGACATTCTACATGGCTAACCATGGTTCGAGCCCTGGACCTAGTGGCTTGCTTTCTCACTTTCCCTCTTTCTTTCTGTGTCTCTCTTTGGTCAAATTAAAATAAATGAATAAATAAATAAAATTAAATAAATATTTTTTAAAATTGTAGCTTCTAATTTACATATGCTAGTTGTACATATTTATGGGGGGCAGTAATCAATCAGGGCAGTGATAGGTCTGGTCTCCAACATGCATCATGGCTTTGTGCAGCGCACACTTAAGATCACCCTGCTAGTCACTGAGAAATATATACAGAATTGTCACCGCACACGCTCTGGATCTGTTAAGCAAGTTCTCACCCTTTCCCTCCATGGCCCTCAGCTTTCCAGCTCCCTGTACCCACCTTACACTCCCTACTCCTGCTCGACTGAATCTTGAGCTTCTGCTGAGGAGTGAGGACGTAGAGCCAGTGCACGGCTGATTTTACTTACCTTCTTTCCAGGTTTGTCCATGTTGCTACAAATGACAGGAATTCACCAATTTTCTTAACTTTTTTTTTTTTTTCACAGCTGAGTAAGGTGCTATTGTGTATACATGCCGCATTTTTTTTTATCCATTCATCAGATGCTAGCTACTTAGGAAGATTCCACATCTTAGCTGTTGCAACAGGGCTGCCGTCAGCGTGGAGTGCAGTGTCTCCATGACAGGCAGAACTCCTTCCCTTCTGATGTACCTAGTAGAGGGATCATATGCCTAATACTGGATCAGATGGCGGCTATTTTTAGGGACCTCTATACCGTTTTCCATAATGGCTGAATTAATTTAAATACCCATCAACAATGCTCAAGAGCCCCCCCCCCCGGAAATATCTTTACATAAATACATTTGGGTTTTGGAATCATACCACCTTTACCTAAGGACAGGAGCACATCCAGGTGTTTAGTCATCCCTTGGTATCTGTGGGGGTTGGTCCCAGGAAGCCCTGAGGAAATGAAAATCTGCGGAAGTTCAAGACCCATTTATAAAATGATGTGGTGAGACCAGCAGATGGCATAATGCTTACATTGCTGGACTCCCATGTAGTCCACCATGGTTTGAATTTGGACCCAGCAGCTTATAACTCACGCCAGGCACGTGTATGTGTGTGCCCAATATTCCAAGAGGAGAATAGAGGAGAAGGACGGCAGTGGGACATCCTCCCTAGGGAGTGATTTCTTACTTTCTGTCTCTCTGTCTCTCCAGTGGACACATGTGCCCTATAGCAACAATCTCTTTAAGAAATACATAAAATGATGTCATATTTGCAAATAATCTACACATCCCCTCCTGTAGCTTTCAATCATCCTAGATCACTCATAATATCTAATACAATGTAAATGCTATATAAATAGTTGTCTTGGTTTATTTTTTTAATTTGTGTTGTTTTTATTGTAATTTCAAATTTTGTTCTTTTTTTTAAAAAAAGAGATTTTTTGCTATAGGGCATGTGCACTTGCCAGAGAGACAGAGAAAGTGAGAAAGTGAGAAATCACCTTCCCAGAGGGGATGGCTACATTGCAATCCCTTCTCCATTCTCCTCTTGGGATTATGGGCACACATGCACATGTGCCCAATGTGAGTTTTAAGCCACCGGGTCCAGGACTTGAACTGTGGTCAACTATATGGGAGTCCAGCGACATAACCATTTAGATACAAACTCCCCAGTGCAGAAAACATGCCAAAAGCTCTTTTCTTCCACAGGCTAAAGACCTGCTACTTCTCTCCCTCTCTATTTCCTATTCTTCCATAGCTGAGGCTCCCTAACAGAGATCACCTTTCAGAGGAAAATGTTCTTTGAACCTTTATGATAGGAGTTAACGCATACCACTGACCTCAAAAAACAATTTTACAGGACACAGCAATCCAAGTTCAGGAATAAAGCATATGGAGAAAAAGCACGTAGAAACATTGCTACAGGCTGTTTAATGACAAGAGGCTAGAGTACAACGAAAAACGCACGGATCTGTATTTCTTCTCTTAAACTCTGCAGTGGGTTAAATGGCTGCCTCCTTGTGGCCAGGCAAAATTTTCGAAGGCAGAATTTTGATGCAGTTAAGGTGGCTAGACAGTGAAAATACTGCACGTGCTTTAAAAATCTCTCCTGTGCACACAATAATGTACAGATGTTTCAGTATTTGCAGCTAAAAAGTCCACTTCTAATTTTAAAAAGTAAATATAAAATAGATGTCACTGGTCACCACGACCATCCTCGAACTTCCTAGTGTTCCTGAGGTTATTAAACAGACCTGTGTTTCGGTCTCCTCGTTTAAGAACAGTGTGTGGATGTGAAGGATACGCAGGACTGAGGGAATTCTAATGGGCCGGTTCCAATACTAAATGATTTTCATAGTACAGATTTAAAAGCAATACTTTGGAAAAACAGACAATCCTCCCTGTACCCCTAAAAGTTACTTGTTAGAAATGAAACCTTGTCAGGGTGAAACAAAACCTCCTGGTTTTTAATTCTCTGGAAAGAGAGGCAGGGAGTCTCTGAACCCACCAACTATAAAGATGGCTGTCCAGGCTTTATCAGGAAATCATTTAAAAAAGATTTTCACCATAGGGTGTATGCACTCACTGGAGAGAGACAGAGAGAGAGAGAGGTCATTCCCCAGAGGGGTGGCCATGCCACAATCCCTTCTCCTCCATTCCCTTCTTGGGATTTTGGGTATGCACACACATGCACCCGGCATGTTTCCCAAGCTGCCAGGTTTGAAACTCAAACTGTGGAGTTGGCTAGAGATCCAGCACCTTTACTGCTGCACCACCTGCCGGCCCCAGGAAATGTGTTTTAAAAAAAAATACATCTGGGAGATGGCAGGTGGCATGGTGGTTGAGGCACTGGACTCCCACATGGTCGACTGTGGTTCAAGTCCTGAACCCGGTGGCTTGCTTTCTCAATCTCTCTCTCTGGTGAAAATATAATAATAATGAATATAATTAAATAAATAGTTGTTAAAAATACATAGGAAATAAACAACATAGAGTCAAATTTCATTTTCGTTATATTACTTGGGTGAGTGCGTAAAATGAGTCTTAAAGAATGAGTATGCTGTTTCCCAGTTTACATTCCATTAGACAGAAAATTCACCCGGTTTGTAATGAGAGAGAGCCTGGCTACAACTCCGGTAGGACAGTTAGTAAGACTGTGAATGGGCCCTGCATTCCCTTGAGCACCGGCACACCCAGAACTGTGGAAAAGCGCCGGGAATGGAACCGCTCGGTGCACACCGGCACCTGTGGCAAGCTGTCCACCACCGAGCCCTGTTCTGTTCCCTGCCTCCTTTCCCAGCTTCTCTACCACAGCCATGGTGACCACCCTCCCTCTGACTGACGCTGAGCCGACTGGGCTGAGCTTCCGCCTTCTGACTGACGCTGAGCCGACTGGGCTGAGCTATGCCAAGTGGCACGTGGCTCTGGGTTCATAAATTCGTGAAATTGGCAGGACTCACATTGATGTGTTCTGTACAACTAGAACGTATGAACCACAGAGTACCTGTGTACACAGGCAGTATTTGAAAAAATATACACAGCCTCTTCCTTTCTCCATGTATGTGGGAGAATAAAACACCAACTTCCTATTAAAATCATATTATTTCTTTTTCTTCTCATGTTTCTTAAAGTGATATTTTTCTCCTCTCCTAGGATCGAATGTTTAACGAATTGCTCACGTACGATGCACCTCACCTTCTGCAAGATTTGGACACATATTTAGGGGAAAAAGAGTGGTTTGTTGGTAACACTGTGAGTATGTTTTCCATCTTTAAAAAAATGCAGTGCACATGCACACACACATGTGCATGGATTAGGTGTAGATATGATGAAAATGTATGGTCACAGAGGAGACTGGACCAGGTTCCAAAAGCGTGTGTACTTTCAGATCTCCGTTAGCAAAACTAAATACGTCGATGAGTGTACCTTTATTTCTGCTTTCCTGTCTGCATAGAAAAATACAGGAAGGCGTTAATAGCAGTAATCTCAGTGTCGAGAGTATGGTGTTAGCTGTAATTTTCTAAATTCCTGTCCTATATACATTCTGCTCTTGTAATAACAAAAGATTCTTTTGAATAAAAAGAAACGATCTTTTAGATCAACACATAAAGCTTAATTGTGGAGTGCTGATAAAGTTACGTATTTCATAGTTAATGAAAAGGCTTTCTCATTCCCTTTGAACTAGGTAACATGGGCGGACTTCTACTGGGATATCTGCTGCACCACGCTGCTGGTCCTCAAGCCTGACTTGCTGGACGTCCGCCCCAGGCTGAAGGCCTTGCAGAAGAAAGTCCAAGCCATTCCTGCCATAGCTGACTGGATCCAGCGGAGGCCCCCCACCAAACTCTAGCTGATTCATGCCACTTTCAAGATTCACGGTTTCTCACAGCATCTCTGCCTCAGATAAGACAGCGATGTCAGCTTGCTCGTTATCGACAGACTCTCCGCCCCAGCACCAAGACTTCCACTCTTTTTTTTTTTTTTAAAGGATTTACTTATTATTTTTTAAATTTGCTGTAGGGCACATGCACTCACCAGAGAGAGACAGAGAAAGTGAAAAAGCAAGCTGCCAGTTCCAGGACTCGAACTGCAGTCACCCATGGGTGTGTCTAGCACTTTAACCACCATGCTGCCCGCTGGCCCATGGCTTTCACTTTTGCCATATTCTGCTTTAAAAAGAAAAAAAATGCCATAGTTTCTAGGGGTTTTTGTTTGTTTGTTTGTTTTCAGAATGGCTTCAGTCATTTCTAATTAAGGAAAAGTAGCTTACATTCCAGGCAGACCTCACAAACTGCTCTGACGTGCATGAATTTCAGTCACAATGGTTTAAGCAACACCTCCCCCCCACCAAATGATGTGGACTTCAGTTACCACAGTATATGAACTGAGAGTAATTGCATGAAATACAAATTGTGCTGCTGGTTCTCCAGCCCACAGATCACAAAATAAATAGCAAATGCACATCGTGACCAACAATAGTTATATCACTTTTTCAGGACAGTGACCGGTCACTGCTCACCTGTTACCCACTCACAGTTACATGCATGGTGACACTGCCTGCTTGAGTCATTTAAAAAAAAAAAAGGGTAACCAAAGGAGAGACTCACCAACAAAGATGGAAGTTCAGCAGAAGAATGCATGATGATACCAAGGTGAAATTCATATCAAACATAAACAGAGAGACACATTAGAACTACCCATGGGAACCTGACACTGCTACAGATGAAAGGCTCTAGATGGACTTAGCAACAGAAATGAGGAAAGCAGTTGTGGCGAAACGAAAACAAAAACAAACATGTAGATGCTTCAAAGGACACTGATTTAAAAACAAACAAACAAAGAGATCAAGTCACAAACTGGGAGAAAATATTGGTAAAACACGTACCTGATTAAGAACTGAGAGCTGGCCCTATATCCTAGTGGTTAAGAGAGCCAAATCCTACATAGCTGACTGCAGTTCAAATCCCAGCCCTGGTAGCTTGAAAAACATGCCAGACGTGTGTGTGTTTGCCGAAAATCTCCCAGGCTGAAGGATAAGGGATTATGGCTTGACCGTGCCACACTGAGGAGTGTTTTCTAATTCTCTTTCTCTCTGTCTCTTGCTGGTGAGTGTACATGCCCTCTGGAAATTAAAATGAACAAACAAAAAAACCCAGAAAACTGTTACCCAATATAGGAGTCGTCTTCAAGTTCATGGAAAAATGCGTATTATGCAAACACTGTCCAGCTCCCAGAGCACTCAGGGAGGTCTCCATTTGCAAACCCAGAACCTTTTTGATCTCTTTCTGTGGTAAAATGTGGTGTCCAAGAGTCTGACCCAACAGAAAGAGATCAAGAAGGTTCTGGGTTTGCAAATGGAGACCTCCCTGAGTGCAGTGGGCATGGGCCAGTGTGCCCATGATCTGGGGTTGGCTGAGGCTGGGTGGGTCGTACCGTCCAGTCCTCGCTGGGGGTGCTGCCTGTCTCCTTCACTCATAGAAGAAATAAACAAATTTAAGAGAAAATTTTGTAAGAAATAAAAAGGGTCCATGACAGCTGGGGATTAAAGGGAAAGATGGGCTAAACAGGAGGCTCATGGCTTTGGGGGCAGCAAAAATTTTTTTCTTTGAAACTGCAGGAGCGGACACCGAGCCCTACACATTTGTTGCCACCTGCAGAATGTAGGCCATCAAGAGTGAGTGAACACGAAGCTGGGGGACAGTGCAAGTCAGTGTTGGTTCGTCATTTGGAACGAACGCACCAATTGGGTGTAGGTCGTTGATGGGGAGGCTGTGCATGTGGAGGACCAGGTATATGAAAACTGCACTTTCCACTCCCCTTTGTTGTGACCTGAAATGGCTCTACAAAATAGCCTATTAAAAGTAAGAGGTATTTCGCAGCACTGAAAGAGCAGTAAAATGTTGGCAGCTGATCTACTTAGTATGACAATTTGCCAAGGCGTTAAGGAAAAAAACAAAAGATGCTCAAATTACTCCTGATAATTTTTCTAACATTTTACAGTTCCTAAATGAATGTTTCACTATTTTCATTTCCTTGTACATTCATAATAAGAAAACAATGTTTTTCGTGTGTTGACAATTTTTTTTTGGAGAGGTTTTTGCTATAGGGTGCATGCACTCGCCAGACAGACAGAGAGATAGAAAGTGAGAAATCACCCCCCAGGGGGGATGGTCACGCCACAATCCCTCCTTCTCCATTCTCCTCTCGGGATCTTGGGCACGCACGCACACAAGCCTACGTGAGTTTTAAGCCACCGGGTCCAGGACTTGAACTGCAGTCGACTACCTGGGAGTCCAGCGACATAGCCATTACGCTAACTGCTGGTCCCTTGACAAATATATTTGAAGGTCACGGGTAATCATAAGGTCCCAGTGACAGCTACGGCCATTCTGCACCTTCCACGTGCAGTCACGGGAACAGCGCCACACCACTGTGCGAGGTGAGGACTGCCTGAATGGAATAAGCCATTTTGGGGGCCAGCAGGTGGTGTGGTGGTTAAGGTACTGGACTCCCACATAACTACGGTTTGAGTCCCAGACCTGGCAGTTTGCTTTCTCACTTTCCCTTTCTCTATTTCTGTGTCTCTTTGCTCAAATTAAATAATAAATAAAATTAAACAAGTAACTCTAAAATATCCATTTTAGTGGAATATTCCAAATAGCAGCATTTAGATGATCTCTCACAAACCCTTTTGTTTTCTCTTTTGGGAGAGATTTTTTGCTATAGGGTGTGTGTGCTGGCTGGAGAGACAGAGGGACAGAGGGATAGAAATCAAGAAATCAGTCCCCTGGGGGGATGGCCACACTGCAATCCCTTCTCCTCCAATCTCCTTTTGGGATTTTGGGCACGCATTGCACATGTGCCTGGCGTGAGTTTTAAGCTGCCAGGTCCGGGACTCAAACTGTGGTCACCTATGTGAGAGTCCAGCAACGCAACTATTACGCCATCTGTTGGTCCCATCCTTCTGTTTCTTAATGACCAGGTCTTGCTCTGCTGTTATCCTCCTGCTTCAGCTTCCCAGGTAGCTGGAACGACCACACCTGGTTCTCACTGGACTGGGAATTGAACCCGGGCCTCCCATGTGGCTTCGGCCTGAAGATGTGATCTTATCAGTGCACACCTCTGCAGCTGGGCCTCCCTAGAAGCTCATTTTAAACTTTAATTATTAGAACATCAAAAAAAATTGCCAATGAGAATGTGTGCTTGGGAAGAAGAGAGGGAGAAAACACACCCCACGAAGAGTGCTCATGCTGCAACCTTTCTCCTTCATCCCTCCATCCTGTCAGGGTTCTGCGGCATGCACACATGCCTTCCCCCCCCCACCCTTAAGCCACTGGGGCTGGAATTTGAGCCATGGTTGGCCACATGGGACCCAGCCTTTTATGCACAGCATGTAACTGCTGTGCTCAGGGGCCAGCCCTAGAACACCAGGCTTCAGTCAGTATTGTAAATCTCGGAGTTTCTTAATACCATCATCATATAGGGAAACAGACCAATGAACAGCGAGCCTTACATTTAAAATGCAGTGCAGAGGTGAGAGAGGAGTTAAGAAGCCAAGGCGTGTGCATGGGCACACACACACACGGGGGAACGTTTGAGAGCAAACAGTGAAGTCCAGCTAAGTATCATCTTATTTGAAGTCCTTCTTTCTTTCCAATGTTCTATGGAACTGGGCAAAAAATGTCACCCTATAAATTAAGAATTACCCGTGAAAATGAAGTGTGGTCCAGCCTTGGAGATACAGGCTGGGACATTGCTCTGCAATGCTGGAGCCCCAGGCAGGCCACAGATTCAGGTCCCAGGTCAGTGTGTGCACACCAGGTGAATGTACAAACCCATGACTCCAGGTGGCTGGAAAAGTTGGGGCCAGGGGATTGTGGTTATGACGACATCCTGTTGAGGGTAACTGTCTTCCTCTCTCAGAAAATAAAACAATTCTTTGGACCAAAAACAAATTTTTTTTTTCCAATCAGTTGCTGTTAAATAAATGGTGGGGCCAGCAGGTGGCATAGTGGTAAAGGCACTGGACTCCCATATGGCCAACCGCAGTTCAAGTCCCACACCTGGCAGCTTGAAATTCATACCAGGCACATGTGCATGCATGTCCAAAATCCCAAGAGGAGAAGAGAGACGAGAATTGCTGCATGGCCGTCCCCAGGGGTGGGGAAGTGATTTCTCACTTTGTTTCTCTCTCTGGTGAGTGCACATGCCCTATAGCAAAAATCTCTAAAAACAGATGGTAATAGAATATAAATGATTCTCATCTTAAAGGCCTCTATCATGTCATCAAAGTATTCTAAAGAAAAAAAAAATCTTTAACAAAAGAAATGTAATACTCTAGATTTAGCCAGGTTTGGTGGTACAGGTGACAGCAGACTGAACAGCAGCAGAGCAGGGAGCCACGTGGCCTACCACGGGTTCAGATTCACAACTGGAGGGCTGGGGAGGGGACTGCAGCACGGCAGGGCCCTGTCTGCGATGCTTGTCTGTCTGTCTCTCTAGCGTGTGCACATACACATTCTCGTGAATAAAATCAACTTCAAACAATAAAAGTAGATCATGAAGGTAGTAACTTTATGTCACCAATGTCTTCCACATTATTGCATTCTGGCAAATTCCAATGAAAATATTACAACAGAATTTAGTAAAAGTGATAAATAAGAGCTGAGGCAAAATTATGCACACACAGAAAAAGGTCAATCCTGTGTTTCTACAAATCGCAACAAGTCTAAAACGGCAGGTCTCCTCAGGACATCTTCAGGCTCAGCTGAACGTTCGGGCCACCGTTTCATACTGAAAGACATCACATTCCATCATGCCATCTGTACCCAAGTTAAACATCGCCTTGCTTAAAAAGGAAGACCACGGGGGAGGAGGTAGAGGCATAATCAGAATAAAAACTGGACTAGGAAGAGTTACACCGAAATCAATTTTATGGACTGCTAGTGATGCACTTAAGATCACACACATTGCAAGCGCCCAGAAACCCCGCCTCTCTAAGATCTAATCTCGGGTACACCATCTGTTAGAAAGTAAAGTTAAAAAACAGCAGCTCATGTTTCAACCTAAGTATCTACAGACAAATCAGAAGGTCTACTGGGTGCTGAATGGCTGTGAAGACAGGAGGACTGTCTTCATCCCTGACTTGCATTAAAAAACCAAACCAAAGGTTGGCCCGGCCAAGCAAGGTTGGTGCAATAGATGAGCGCTGTGGCCATGAGGCTGACCCTGCAGGCTGGCCCCCTGGCCGGGTCGAGCATGGCAGAAAACACCTGCGGTGGGAGCTGAAGCAGGGTGGGGCAGAGGATTGCCAAAGGCCAGACTCTCAAAAATGGCTTGCTGTCTTTCCCTCTTCCTGCTCTCTCATTTAAAAAGGAGGGTGGGAAAGGGCAGGGCTGCTTCCACTGGTCGAAACATGTCTCCCAATAATAGCGGCCCCGTGTGTCCTCTACTGATACTGACTGGACTACGACACCGAGTGGCATCAGCCTAATCCAGAGACTGAGAATACAGTCATACATTCCGATTTATCAACACACAGACGACACAAAGCACATCAGATTATCTTATTGTGCTCAATATTTTTTTTTTGAGAGAGGTTTTTGCTATAGGGTACATGTGCTTGCCAGAAAGAGATAGACAGAAAATGAGAAATCACCCCCCCAGGGGGGATGGCCATGCCGCAATTCTCCTCTTGGGATCTTGGGCACGCACGCACCCGTGCCCGGCGTGAGTTTAAGGCACTGGGTCTGGGACTCAAATCATGGCTGACTACGTGGGAGTCCAGCGACACTGCCATTACACCAACTGCTGGTCCCTGCTCAATATTATTCTTAAGAGTAACGGGAGGGAGGGTTAGAAACTATTAAAAAGGGTGTGAAAATACAAATTATGATCACAAATATTTTTATTAAGCCCGAGACATAATAGAGCATTACAACTACATTTCATTAGATAAAAATAAGGCTGTGACGACGACAATGGCGACGACAGAAGAAATAGCTATTGCTGAAGACACACGACTGCAGAGAACTTCTAGAAATCCATTAGGAGATTTTAAAAAGTAATATTCTCAACACGTTGACTAAGCCATCTGGGTACGCGGACGCAAGAAGAGGTAGTACTAACACTCGCAGATTCCTTTCAGCACTAAAATATATTCAGTATGTTCACTGGAACTTCGAGATTGGGAAGTCTACTGAACAATGAGTTTTCCGAATCCAAAACAGCTTAAGAATCACTGAAGAGCTTCATTCACCTTCTGAAGCCAAAGGTTAGCATCTGAGCAAGTTAGGAAAGTTAGGATGCCTTGAAAAATTTGAGCTCCAATAATGAACAATTCTTTGATTTATAAATAAGTTTATTTATAATGATATTTACATAATAAAAACAAAACACATGAAACTCACAAGTTATACAAAGAAACCGATGTATAATAAAAAACAGCAATATAGACTGACAGGCAAAATTTTAACATAAGATTTAATAAAGAGTTAAATATCAAATAGACAACTTTACTTCTTCTATTTTTCACTTTCTCACCCACACCGAATCGGAAGTGAACAACGGCTCTCTCCAGGCGGTCCTCGACTCCAGGACACTGGTAAATGAGATTCTGGTGGGAGATTAAAGCCACTGACCTATTTCCACGCAGTACCTAATGCTGCCGTAATATCAAGTCACATCTGGTCTGCTTTGAAGTGAAATCGCTTGAAGTTACCTCCACTGCCGGGCTAGGAAAATGTCACCCACACTTCGCATGGAGAGGCGGCAGGAACTACTGCTCAGAGAGGAGGACAGCTGGAGAAGTGACCGGGCAACAGTGTCAAGAGAAGCAAAAGCCAGGTGTGGGAAACCAACAAAACATGCACAAGGACAGACAGAAGAAGAAGCACAACCAGTGCCCCGGGAAATGAAGAGAGGGAATTAATCCGTGGAAGCGTGGGGGTGGGGGAGGGCTGCTGGAGTTACTAGTCACTGGAAAACAACTTAGTGCTGAGCCAAAGTAATTCGTCTTAACAGAAGTATTGAGAAGACCTGGGGGGTGTCAGAACATGAAATGCCACCTTAAAGTTCAGGTTGAGTTGTTGTTGACATTGGTGAACATCTGCTTCAAATAGCAATAAAATCAAAGCTATATACTCTATACAGCTGCATCTTGAAACTAACATAATAAAAAGACCTTCAAATGAGACAAGCCAAAACAAGACGTAAGCATTGTCAAATAAGGCACATGTAAAAATCTACACACATTATCCAGTGAAAGACAATATATATATATTTGGAGGTAGAAATAATTACAAAAATACTGACATTTCTAAAGCATTAGCATATTTGTTACAAACAATCACCAACTAATCCCCATTCAGAAAACTGCTTTGTAAAATGATTCTTCAACATCTTCAGGACTACGTATTTGTGGCTTTTTGTTTTTTTTGGAAATTTCTTGAGTGAGCATCTGGAGAATTCAGTTAGTGGCAAAAAAGTTGTCCGTACTATGAGAAATGCAATATGGAAATTATAAAAAGTTACAAATGCTCATAAACCCCATGGTCATCATAATGTAAATGTCCTTGAGTGCACCAAGTTGAGATTTCCTCCTCAGCTAGGAATTCACGGCTCTTCCTTCACAGGCCCATCGACGTTTTCAGTAAAGTGGCTATATCTGCGGGCATGCTGCCTTCATCGCCTGCAGGTCAGACAGCGGCATTGCAAGTGTCATCACAATACTTTACGAATGAATCCTATTACCTACCCAGGCCCAGTTCGCCTCGGTGTCCACCCCCGTAATTACAAACTTCCCTCAGCCCCACACGGTCAGGGCTACTCCTCGGTGTTCTCGCCCACACTGTCAGCACCGCACTCTAAGGTTGGTTTGCTGACTTTGCACAGATGTGGAAAGGTACGTGCATACAGCTAGTTTGGACTGCAACTTATTCATACATAGCACGTGATACTTCTCATGTTTGCTACACAGAAGAAAAACACGTATGTAACAAACCGAGTCGGAAAAACACAGACAAGAAAGCCCCCAAATCCCAACCAAAACAAAATTATAATTTGATCTACACCCTTCCTTTTGCTCTAAATTATAATCACTAACTTATACCCATTCCATCCAAATAAACAAAATTCTGAGTAGAGAATACAAGTTGAGGACTAAATCAACCCCTTTACTTTTTATGTATCTCTTATTTGCCCCATAGTTCAATGACAGCAGATTCCAATATCTAGGAACTCATAAAAAATTATTTAGGATTTCCTCAGACATGACAACACCCAGTGTTTATCATGGTAACAAAGAATAGAGCCACCCCCGATTCTTTCAATTAAACAGAATATTTTTAGATAAACTGACTTATTAATTTACTGGTTACTGACAAATGGCACAGCCTGCAATTCATAAATATGTGCTGACTATATTGTATCTATGACTAGTTTTTTTTTTTTTTTTTTGCAGAGGTTTTTGCTATAGGGCGTGTGCGCTCGCCAGACAGACAGAGAGGGACAGGGGTCAGGGACACAGAAAGTGAGAAATTATCCCCCAGGGGGGATGGCCACACCACAATCCCTTCTTCCCCATTCTCCTCTCAGGATCTTGGGCACGCACGCACATGTGCCCAGCGTGAGTTTAAGCCACCGGGTCCAGGACTCGAACTGTGGTCGACTACGTGGGAGTCCAGCGACATAGCCATTATGCTAACTGCTGGTTCCGCCATGCCTAGTTTTAAAACCAGAGGTGAGTGAAATGCAACAAAGCCAATCACTCCCCCCCCGACACACACACCCTGGTTACAGTCTACAACCAGGAGAGCACATTGCCCACTCTTCCCTGTGAACAGGGCAGACACATCCAGGGAGTCTGCAGATCCCCTTGCTCATTCATTATTTTCTCTTTTCTAAAAAATTTGACCAGAGAGAGAGAGACGGAGAGAGGAAAAAAGTGAGAAAGCAAGCCACTAGGTCCAAAACTCGAACCATGGTCAGCCATGTGGGAGTCCAGAGCCTTAACCACACACCACTTGCCAGCCCCATGCTTTCTATTTTCCTTTTTTTAAAAAATAACCCAGAGGGTGCCTGTGCTCACCAGAGATACAGAGTGGGATAAGGAAAGCTGCCGCACCACGACTGTGGGCACGGTCATGCTGCAATCCCCTCTCCTCCACGTCTCCCTCTCACCGGGACTTGGGGCATGCGCACATGCAGGCCTGGCATATTTCTTAAGCTGCTAGGTCTAGGACTTGATCTGTGTAGTTGGCCATGTGGGATCCGACTCCTTTACCCACCAGGTCATGGTATTCGTCCTGTAAACTTATAAACGTTTAAAGTAATTCTTTTCTGTAGGATGAAGAGGAGTCATTTCTCTGAAGATTTTTTTCCTAGGACAACTACTTCAATCTAAAAAGGTGAATTATCAAATTTTCAAAATATTCAAAAGTGCAAAAATATTTTAATTTCACAAAAAATGAAAAAAAAAAAAAAAAAAAAAAAAAAAAATTGGGCACAAAAAGTGGCTTAATGGTTACATCACTGAACTCCTACATGGCCAACTGCGGTTCAAGTCCTGGACCTGCAGCTTGAAACTTACCCCAGGCACGTATGTGTGGATGCCCAAAATACCAAGGGCAGAATGGAGGAGAAGAGATTGCAGCATAGTTATTCCCCTGGGGAGTGATTTCTTGTTTTCTGTTTCTCTGTCTCTCTTTCTCACAAGTGCATGTGCCCTATAGCAAAACTCTCTCTTTTTAAAAAAAAAAAGGAAAAAAGAAAAAACAAGCACTAGTAAAATAAATGTTTACCAGTCAAAATTAAGTCAATGAAAATATTAGACTTCTTAATAAGATTAATCACGTCATAAAATATATTATGTCATGTACTGTAAAGCTTTGGGCCTACAAATAGTACTTTTAAAGTAAGCAAGCCATAAATCTGCGGATAAAATTGTACATCTAAATCAAAAAATTATATTTCTGGGATATTCTGATAGCAGAAAAAAGGTAAAAGATGGAAGGGACAGTACTCTCCCAAGTCAAAGTGTCTGATCAGCTCTGACAAGAGGGTCGTAATTGTTACCTGCTGTACTTTGGATACAAGCATGCTTACCTTCTCATCCCAAACCGGATCATAGCATCGGACTCGGGCACCGTTGCTACCCCTTACAATGACGAATTTAATGTCTAGTCTATATAAACGAACAATGAAGTTTCCACTCACAAACAGCTTACCTTCATCTACTGTAGTCATGTCTTGCTCTAGCTTCAATTTCTGTTGGTTAATTTTTAGCATGGATTCTTCAATTGTCCCTTGGCTTATTAATTTTATAACTAGTACTTCTCTAAAAAAAATTACAAGATATATTGATTACTAATTATGAATTTATCGATATATATATATAAACAGCATCTAAATTAAATCAGAATAATTTGAATATTGTTAACAAAGATATCACTAAATTTAAGTTTCTTTACTCAAACCACTTCAGACTGACATTTTTGAGCAGTTCACTTTAGACACCCTTTGCTATTATCCAAGAGAACACAAAGACATTTGTATTTAAAAAGTCACTGATGGTGGGGCTGGCAGGTGGCATGTGGTTAAAGGCACTGGACTCCCACATGGCCGACTGCAGCTCAAGTCCCAGATCTGGCGGCTTGCTTTCTCACTTTCCCTTTCGTTCGCTCTCTGTATCCCTCTCTGGTCAAAATAAAATAAAATAAATAAAAAATAAATAAATAAAGTTCAATAAAATAATTCTTTTTTTATTTGAGAGAGGTTTTTGCTATAGGGCGTATGTGCTCACCAGAAAGACAGAGAGACAGAAAGTGAGAAATCACCTCCCGGGGGGGATGGCCACTCTGCAATCCCTTCTCCTCCATTCTCCTGGCCAACTGCCAATCCCTAAAATAGTTCTTAAAAAAAAAAAGTCATTGATGGGACCAGCAGATGATGTAATGGTTAAATAGCTAGACTACCTACATAGTTGACTGTGGTTTGAGTCCCAGACTCCGTGGCTTAAAATTCATACCAGGAGCGTGTGTGTGCATGCCCAAAATCCCGAGAGGAAAATGGAGAAGGGATTGCAGAGTGGCCATCCCCACTAGGGGGTAATTTCTCACTTTCTGTCTGTCTATGTCCCTGGCGAGTGCACGTGTCCTATAGCAAAAAGCTCTCTAAAAAAAAGTAATTGTTAAAACCGTATTACAACAAGCAGTTCTTTCTTCAGATAGAAATTACATTTCAGAAAAATAAGTTTTGCTTATCAGGTTCCAAGAAATACTATACAGAAAGGCAACGTAGTAAAATAGAAACCTCCACAAAACATATTTGCAAATATTTAGTCTATAAGCAAATATATAAATGCCTTTTGGAAAGACAGTAAAATTCTCAACAAAAAAGGCACTGCTGTTCATGCATTTAAGTAGAGGTGAGTTGTGCTTACTTTCACCTCTTTCTAGTCCTGTGATCAATGTTAAAATTAACCTTCACCTAAACTAACCCACGGCACAAAAAATTTATTTCCTAAATGGCAGCAGAGGAGCAACAGAATGTATATTACCAAGACTATCTGGCTCTTAAATGGCCCATCAAGCGTTTTTAATTATTAAACTTTGTGTGTGTGTGTGTGTGTGTGCTCCCCAGAGAGACGGAAAAAGGAAAGTGGGAAATCATACCCCCACACACTCCCCAGGGAAAGGGCCACACCACAATCCCTTCTCCTCCAGTCTCCTCTTGGGATTTGGGGCACACACACAAACACAAGTGCCTGTCATGATCCTCAAGTTGCTGGGTCCAGGACTCGAACTGCATTTGGCTATGTGGGACTCCAGTGCCTTAAACCACCACACAACTGGCTGGCCCCACAATTTTGAAACTTTTTCAAGGGTACTAAACCATTGATACTACTTCATGAACTGCAGAATACTTGGGGTTGGGTGGCAGGTTACTTTAATGACAAGAAAATGGACAGGTTACATAGTGGAGTTCATGGTCAACACTGTAGGCAATAAAAACACCGGAAGCTATGCTTTGCTGAAAAGAATAAAAATGAAGACAGGGAATCCAACATACTGTATGTTGTTATACAATACAATTAAACCAACATTTGACTAAAAGTACACTTCACTGAAAGCACTTACTTAGTCTGGCCTACTCGATGGCATCTGTCTTCTGCTTGTTTGTCATTGTAAGGATTACAATCAATATCATGAAGTATAACAACATTTGCAGAAGTCAGATTTATTCCTAATCCACCAGCTTTCGTTGACAGCAAAAACACAAAGATATCCATATCGGTATTAAACTCGTCAATCAGATGAATCCTGTAAGATAAACATATACAGTTAAACCTCACTGAAGAGTATATAGCAGAAGTAAAAATGAAGTAATCACATCACATGGAAAAGGAAGCTGAAGAAATAGGGGCCAGCAGATGGCGTAGTAGTTAAGGGAGTTGGACTCCCACATGGCCAACTGTGGTTTGAGTCCTGGACCTGGCAGCTTGCTTTCTTATTTTCCCTTTCTCTCTTACTCTGTCCCTCTCTGGTCAAATTAAAAACAAATAAATAATTATTTAAAAGAAAGCTGAGGCTATAAGTAGACACTCTTGGCATTATAGTTATTTTTCCTGTGGCTTCATTAATGAATGACCTTCCCAATTCAACAACTTTTTTTCTCCATTATTACTCTCCCTACTAACTCGTACTTTAATTCAACTACTCAGATTTGATTAATTCCTAAAGGGTTATTCTGTCCTTTGTTGATTTTTTGCTTAACCTGAATTCTGCATATGGTGCCTTTTTTTAAAATTAAGAATTATTTTTATTATTTATTTCCTTATTTATTCATTTTATTTTGACCAGAGATGGACAGAGTAAGAGACAGACAGGGAAATCGAGAAAGCAGGCCACCAGGTTTGGGACTGAACCACAGCTGGTCATGTGGGAGTCAGCACCCTTAACTACTAAGTCACCTGCCAGTCCCTGTATATGGCTAACGTTCAACCTTGGCAGAAGTCTATCAGCTGTAAGCAGAAGAAATACACCCGAGGAACCAAGGATCGCGAGAACAAACTGTATCAAATCAATGTAATCTCTTTTAGTGTGATTTTTATCTTTATTGTAGTATAGGAAAAAAAATCACTCTAGCTGATTAAAAAAACAAATCAAAACAGTACCACGACTTCACACACAGAGAAAAAGCATTTTAAGGTCTGGCCCCCCTAGTGGTTAAGGGAGCTGGATCCCACACATCCTTCCACAGTTCTAATCGTGGTCCCACCCCTGCAGTTTGAAAAATACACTGGGATCATCTGTGTGTGTGTGTGCCCACATTTCTTTCTCTTTCTCTCTGGAAGCTCAAGTGTACTCTGGCAATTAAAAAAGGAAAAAGAAGAAAAAGAAAAAGAAAAGGAATTCTTATCTTTGTGTTTAAAGGAACTATTGTTTTTCTTCTCTTTTAAAAGTGCGCTGCAGGGCATTTGTACTTGCCAGAGAGCGGGAAGGTAGGTAATGCACACACATGCACCCAGCATGTTTTAAAAGGCGCTAGAAGGACTGGTAGGTGGCATGTTGGTTAGGGATGCTGGACTCCCACATGGTCAACTGCGGTTTGAGTCTCGGACCAGGTGGCTTGCTTTCTCACTCCTCCCCACCCCCTTGCTCTGTCCCTCTCTGGTCAAAGTAAAATAAATAAATAAAGTTAAATAGAGTAATTCTTACAAAAATAAATAAATAAAAGCCACTAGATCTGGACTCAAACTGTGCAGTCAAGTGGGAGCCAGCCACCTTCACCATCGCCACTGGCTGTCCCCATTCCTTATTTTTAAGACAATCTTCTGAACCTCTGGAAACTTTAAAAACAGAATTACCATTATAATATGAAACGCCTTAGATTTAAACCAGTTTTGATTAAAGATAAGACCCTTTAATTTGAGCTTTCAAGGGGAAAACCCTAAAAAGTATGTAATAGCTTTTTCAAAAAACATGCACCTACAATTCAGAAAAAATTTTAAAAGAATTTTCCCCATTGTTTGCATGATCAAATCCCCGAACTTGAGACTCAGAAGTAACAAAATTCTACCAAGTACTACACATTTAAACCTCTGATAAATAACGAGTGCTTTTCTCAACATGAAGCGAAGTATACCAACCTTTCCGAAATCTGAGTCTTCCCGTCTAATCTGATGTACCTGTGCTGCTGATGCTTTAGGAGAACCTCTAAAATATCCAGCATCATGGTAAACTGGCTAAATAACACAACTCTATCGCCCTGTGAAAACACACACACGCATCAGGAACAGACAAGTCAAAATAGTAGAACTCAAAGCCTTGCTAGGTTTAAACAATTAGAAGTGTTACCCATAGCATGTTGACAAGTCTGCAGAAAATTCCTTATGATACAATTATCGAATGATCAATTTATGCTTTAATAAAAAAAGTAATGATTCTTAAAATTTTTGTTTTACGTTATGTGTGAATGTACTACACCTCAACTTAAAAGCCAAAATTAAATCTCAGTTTGATCTGAGAACGGTTAAATATTTATCATCACAGAAAAATTTCAGCAAGTATGAGTAAGTTGCATAAAAACCGCCTGGATTGCAACCTTACAAATTTATACTATTTCACACATAAACTGAAGTATTACTTAAATAACTAGTTAACAAATAGCTTCTTCAAAATGCTAATTTTTAAGCTATTACACAAATTGTCATCTATGAAATAATGTTAAGTATTTTTCTTTTCTAGAAGTTTTTGATTTACGGCACATGTACTGACTGAAGAGAGAGAGAGAGAGAAAGAAACAGAGACAGTATGGAGGGGGAGTCAGAAATCACTCCCCCCAGGGTGGATGGCCATGCCACAATCCCTTCTCCATTCTCCTCTCAGAATCTTGGGTGGGCATGCACACACATGTGCCCAGCGTGATTTTTAAGCCACCACATCTGTGACCCAAACCCTGGTTAGCCATGTGGGAGTCCAGCAATGTAACCATCATACGCCATCTGCTGGCCCCAAGGTTATTTTTTTAAATGCATCAATACAGATTCACACTATACCTTTCATTGTGTTTTTCTGAGTTTCCACAGAAGTAAAGAAGTAACCAGGAAAATGTATGTGCGAGTATGTTAAGAGAAATGTTTAAAACACTGGGTTCATCAATGAATGTATTCACAGATATAGGCTAAAGTTTTAAGAATGTCAATTCATGTCAGAATTGCTTTAGCAAGTTTCACTAATGGAGAAAATACAAAAGGAGTGCCATTGTTCTTGAATACCTTCTGTTTCAATTCAGACAAGATACGTCCTAAAGCTCGGAATTTTCCAGAATCTAAAATCAAGTCCATGTCTAACTGGAAGCTGTTAATGTGTCGATACTGTTTACAAAGTACATGTAGTTCGAAGTCTGTCATAACTTCCATATCTTCAAAGATCAAGTCAGGGTTAGCTTCACAATGTGTAGGTTCCTTGAAGACAAGAAAAACAGTAGACTTCAAAATTAAAATTTATAACATCATTGGAACAGTTCAGTGAAACATTTCATATATGATAAGATGCCTGAATCATAAGACATTTTATTTTAGTGCCATAAATTTAGCAAATGAAATTAATATTAATTCTTTTAGGTAAAAGAAAGGAGAAAAATCTTTATTATTTTAGACATAACTGAAATACTTGTAGATACAGCAATGTCTAAAATTTGGTTCAAAATAATCCTGGGAAGGAACTGGAGCTATAGATGAAATTAATTGTGAGTGTCATCACCAAATGGTAACCAGGATAAGGTGCTGAGAGAATGAGGCAAAACAAAAAGTAACAGCTAAAGTTATGAAGACCAAACAAAGATATAAATTAAGAAAACAAATGAGTAAAATAACTCACTAGGCCAAGACACAAAAACCTAAGGACTTCTTTTGTCAAAAAATGTGTATTACAGGGGACAACAGGTGGCATGGCGGTTAAGACAATGGATTCCCACATGGCCAACCGCACGGTTCAAGTCCTGAGCCCTGCGGCTTGTTTTTTAACTTTCCCTCTCTGTCTCTCTGATCAAGTTAAAATATAATAAGAAATAAAATTAAATAAAAAATAACTCTTAAAAAAAACAAAGAATGTTTTGTTGTGTTTATATAGAAGTCTAGATGAGGAGTTGCAAAAGCAGGCTTTGTAGGCGAGATGACCTGTGCAATTACTCACGCTTGCCTGAGGGGAGAGAGCAGCCACAACACACACATGTATGACTAGGTTATGATAGGTTATGATAGAACTTTATTTGTAAAACCAGAGTGGGGGGACCAGCAGGTGGCGTGGTGATTAAGGCTCTGGACACTCCCACATGGCTGACCAGGGTTCAAGTCCTGAATCTTGAGGTGGCTTGCTTTCTCACTTCCTCTCTCTCTCACTCTCAACCTCTGTCT